CGGACGGACGGACGGACAGACGGCCGAACAGACTGCTGATGGACAGACAGACGAACGGACCGACGGCTAGACCAATCGACGAACATGGTGGACGGACAGACACGTTGATTAAACCGTGAGCACGCAGCCCGAGATGGTGATGTCAGTGACTTAGAGAATCTGAGCTCTATTTTAATGCAGTATCGCGTGCCTTGGCCCTGGCAACAAAACCTGAAATCCAAAATGGGACAAGACTGTGTGTAGAAGTAAACTGCATGAAAATTTCCCTACTACAAATTTTTTTTCTTCGTAGCAGTTTGATCTAAATTAACTTTGCTAAAGCTAAGATCCCATTATCGGCACAATGGGCCGATTTTCGGCGGATTTCATATACCGATAGTGTGAACAAGCACAATTTTTCGAAATGCGGCAAAAATAAATTAATGCGATTCGGCTTTTAAAACAGTTGGCAGCCCTCTTCAAAATATTTGCAAGCTACATACCACCTTGTTAAATCTTTTTCGTCTTACACCCATATTTTGACACATACTTCAATTGCCTAATTCCATTATTCAAATTTGGTTTGATTTTCTTAACAGGAGGGAACCCTCCTTTATGGAGATGAGAAATAAAGCTTTTTCAAAACTACCTCGATTGATACTTATATTTTACTAATTGATTTAACTTTCTAAACAATTTGAATTTAATTTTTTACAGTGTTCAGAAAAATTCGTTTTCATTTGATTCAAATAAATTCATTTCATTTGTATTTGCGATCGCTGAACGAATTTTATAACAACCATTTGTTTTCGTTGCCTGGCGACCATTGTATAGGCTTACAAGTATGGAAAGCGCCATTTCGTTTATTTACATTTGAAAACAGCTGAGATCACCATTTTCAATTCTCTCATTCTCCGCACAGAGTTACATTCATGTTTCAGAAAAAACTTTAAAATGTAAATTGAGAAGTATTTAAGAAAAATGTGCTTTTATTCATTTGAATTGATTAAGTAAGAAATTAAAAATGCATGCCTAGTCTTGCATTTCTAATAATAACGATGAATGTGTATATTCCAGGCAATAATTTAAAATATTTGTGAAACTTATCGTTTTGCGCTAAAATACAACAATGTGTGTAAAATTCGTTGTGATTGTTTCTGTTTTGTGCCTGCCGATGGAAAAAATAGGTAAATTTCCATTTACTTTTAAGAGAACATATAAATTAAAATATATTTCTTTCCAGAGCGACATACGGACAAGTAAGGTGACAAATTTGTGTGATGAATATCGCGGAAAATCTTTTGCATCAAAATTTCTATTCCAATTTGCATTTGAATTATGATATCAACAGCGATGCTTTGGAACGTATTTTTTGAAGACAATTTTTTTATAAATCTTGAGATTGTTGATTTATTTTAGCATTAAAAAAGCTAGTTTATATTAAAAAATATATTTAGACTAGAAGTATACTAAAGTAGCTTTAAAAAAGGTTTATAAATTTGAAAATGTTTGCATACGGCAATTTAAAAAGCTTTTTAAAATTTTTGTTTTTTTATGAATAAGGCGATAAAAATATATGACTTTTAACAAGGAAAAAACGCAAAAATGTGATTTTTGCGGAAGTAGGTATTAGTGAATTGCAGTGCATTTAAAGTTTCTGAGGTTTCGATTACTTTTAGATCAGAATTGTCAAAATTTAGAAACTCAAAGTAGCAGTACAATAATCATAGAAAAGAAGATTGCGCCCTGAATGTTCTGGTATTTTTTTGGTTTCGGTTTGACAGCCAGCTACTGTGATGATGTGGAAATTCACCACAATGAAGAAAAATATAACAATTAAGTGAAAAAAATTTGATTTTTACAAATTTAGTGAGCAGTAGCGCGTTTCAAGAACGATATTTCGGACAAATCGTTAACGAACAACATTTTTCCTTCCCGTCTGCTTTGGTTTTGGCAAAAAATTTGATTAGTTCCTGCCGGCGATCAAGTCATTTCAACCACAAAATACTATTATTTGCAAGAACCATTCACTAAAATTGTAACTAACTTTTTATTATTTATTAATTCCTTTTTGATATTCAGCAATAGCAAGATGAAAAAAATATAAACCAAAATTAGTAATATTTTTATGAATGTAGTTCACAGAGGAAACGCCGGAAAACAATGTATTGGCAACGACATAAAATGTATGGAAATTAAAATGTCAACAGAATAATAACTATCATGATAAAAAAAATAGAAAGGTAGAACCGCCGAGAAGAATTTTTTATATTCTTGACGTTTGCAAGCAATTTAATTTTAAAATTTTACACACAAACTCACACACACATTCTCATTTTCAATCTCAAACAACAACAACTTTGAACAATTCCTTTTTTTACTCTCAATTTTATACTATTTTAAAATGTTGGCAAACTTCAAAAAAAATCATGGCCGATGCATTGAGGGAACGGTTTTACCTTACTATGCTTTTATCATGAAAACTACGGTAAAAAAGAATGAGAGAAGTGTGCGAAGGAGGAAATCTTTTCAATTTGAACAAGAAAAGCTTTAAATGCCGTTGTAAAACGGTCAACAAATTTCTTATAAAATATTTTGATTTTTACCATGATAAAAACATTACAAGGTAAAATCATTGAGAGACAGTCTGACCTTTGCCAGCAATATAATTTTAAAATTCGAACTCAAGCTCACACACACATTCTGATTTTAAATCTCAAACAACAACAATTGTGAACAGTTTCACTTTTTTTTGAATTTTATATGATTTTCGAATGTTTGTAAACGTCCGAAAAAAATTATGGCCGACGAATTTAGAGAATGGTTTTACTTTCTAATGTTTTTATCATCATTTAAATCTTCTAGCAAGATGCTATATATTTATTTATACACTTTTTGGCTGGCGAAATATGTAATTTTTTCAACTTTTTAAAAAAGCGTATTTAACCACATTAAAATTTTTTTAATATTGAATGGCGCAACACAACAACTCTTTTTGTTGCACGAAACCCTTGAACACGTGCCTGTCATCTATTTCGTCTGTTTCGACATTTCTTTCATTTTGACGTCATTCGCATTGTCAGGTTTTTGAAATTCGTTTTGGTTCGACATTCTGCTATTTCATAATTCTTTCATTCTCATGTCATCCATCTTCCATTTCTTACCTTCCATTGCCGATCGCATCGTCGAGCGTGCCTGCCAAACACTGCCGCCATCATGCTTTTCAGTTTGGCAGGCACGTCCGCTGTTTGGCAGGCACGTCCGCTGTTAGAAAGAGAATAGACAAAAAGGGGCATAGGATTCCATATTTGTAAGCAGTGTTGCCAGGTCTTCAGCATGAGAAAACGTCCCTTTTGGTCTGAAAAAACGTCATTTCCTACCCAAAAACGTCTTTTTCAAATGAATGTACAAAAAATTGTTCTTATTAAACTTTCATTGTATACAACGGTACATATGTAAGTAAGGTATATTAAAATGTCATTTCGACAGAGCACATTTAAAATTCATTGGAAACTGGTTTGAGATCGTTAATATAAAAATCATTTTATACATACACTTGTGATCAGCTGAATAAGTCATCAACATTTCGATCGATTTTGGCTGTTTCTCTTTCGTTTATTTAATGTTTATTATTTTTCCATAGAAGCCAAGCTCATTAACAAACAAAATATAAATCCACAAAAATTGTGCAAAAATTATAAACAATCTGCAAATTTTCAGCTAGATTTTCAACTTTCTATTCAGATTTTTTAGCCCATTAAATTTCAGGGCAATAATGTGCAAGTTTAAAGGGGCTAAATAATCGCGTTGTTTTTTACTAATTTTTTTTCTTGTAGAAATTTGGTTAGGGGTTCGGTTGTCGAAAATGTCGAATAGGTCCATTCAATATCAAAAAATTGTTACGGATTGTTAGCACTGCTTGACTGCTTAACTTGCTAGTACTTGCAAGTTTTTACTGAAAATGCATTCAATTACCCAAAATATTTGCAAGAGTTAGCGAATTCGAGAGCGTTGCAAATTTATGCAAGTAAAAATTTTACTAGCAGGAATTTTCAGGAGTCCAAAAGTAAAGTTATGTTTCAAACTCAAATGTAAACAAACTGTTTAAGAGGATGATTTGATGAAACATAATTAGTGAAATCAAAAGATGGATAAAAAATTAAATCTATTGTATATATTTTTACTTTTATGACTTATGAACTATTCCCAATTAAAAAAAAAATTGCGCGCCAAAACTTAACCGTCAGAAAGTGTCAAAATGGCTTAAGTTGCAATTTTTTACTAGTTTTGCGTTCAATAACTTTTTCTGAAAATTTTCTTTTGCCCTCAATTTTACTCTCTGTTTTTATTTTACGCTCTCGCTGCAAGTACTTACTGGAAACTTATTGAATGGACCTAATATTTCAGTCTTTTT